GAAGGCGTATGGGGGTCTGGATGCAGAGATTAACATTTTATTGACGCTCCGGCCGCTTAACCCCAGGCAAAGAACCCGCGGTACCCGTTAGATAGGAGTTTTGTCATGGACCCCAGAGCCAGTCTGGACGACGTGGAGAAAAGAAAATTCTTGACCCTACTGGGACTTGAACTCCGGCCCCTCAGTCTTCCAGTCCGTAACCAGTCGCTATACCGACTGAGCTATCCCGGCCTATTTTGGAATTATATATAGATTAAAACATACAGAGGTATAATTCTGCCTGTAATTTTGTATGGGCGCGAAACTTGGTCTCTGACATCAAGGGTAGAAATGGAATGAAGGTATTTGAGAACAGGCTGCTGAGGAGAATGTTTTGTTTGAAGTAGGTAATTGGAGATAATTACGTAAGTAGAAGTTTAATAATTTGTGCTCTTTGCCAAAGATAATTAGAATGATCAAGTCAAAGACGACGAGATGAGCAGAACATATAGAACTCATGGCGGAGAAGAGCAATGTTTGCGGGGTTTTGATGGAAAGGAAGGAAAGAAACCATTAATAATAAGACCTAGATATAGGTGCGAAGATAATATTAAAGTGGTTGTGAGAGAAATAGGATGGAGGTGTAGTGGACTGGATTTATCTGGCTCGGGATGGGGACCAGTGGAAGAGCCCCATAACATGTACATTCTAAATGGTTCTGCCGATGGTGGATGGCACAGAATTACTGAGGCAGTTACCCCAGTAATTCTGTGTGCCCTATAACATGTTTGGAAATTCCTGAGTAGCTGAGAAATTTGTGGTATCTCAGGAAGGACTCAACTCCACTGACTTAGTTAGTTACGATTGTTTCCACTCTCAAAGATGGCGAGTTTTTATGAAAGTGTGTACGACACATGCGCCGAGGCTCACGTTTGGCGGCTTTAGTCCTCCTTAGCAGTGACCCTTCAATGAAAGTAATGGGCGGATAGTCCTAAAGCTAATATTATAAAGTAAAACAAATGCTCCTAACTGCGCGATGTCATGCAACTGGGCTACCCGCAGCCTTGACCACACTGATTACGCTTAGTACAGAAGATGGAGGACAAAATGTTAGCGTCACGTGACATTCGTGTTTGGCGAGATGTCCGCTGTGAGGCAGAGCACACGTTAATATATCTGAAATATTACGACACGCATTCAACTGTTTGCTTTCAAATATCCTCAGATAATTTCGTTGTAATCATGCCTTTAATATGTATTACGAAAGAATATATAAATGGGACAGCAAACAACAAAATATTGAAACCGAAACGAACTAGATACTGCAGTAGCAGCATTCGTTTATTATTCCAGATGTTGGTGCTACGTACATGTTTCGACCTTTCATTATGTCATCTTCAGGCATACATGAAACAAATATTGGTAAGGTTCTGAATATGTTAACGTATTATATATGTATATCCATATTTTACATTAATAGGTTATATAATTTCACAATCTTTAATTCAAATTTTGATGAAATAATATATACACCTATATTGATGTTATTATCTATGTTGAATAGTAAAAATAAATACTACACATGCATTGCTATAGTCTATCACTAGCATATAGAATCCAGTTGTACACTGTTAGTGTTAAAGTACTGTATAATTATTAAATATGTCTGTCGAGGCAATGAATAAAATTTAAATTTAAATTGTGCATTACTTAATTTGGGGCACGCGGTAGCGTAGTTGGTTGAGTCATTGTGCTACAAGGCGGAAGGTCACGGACTCGAGTCCCGATTAAGTTCAATTTTTAAATATACCTTGTCCTTCCAGTCGCACTATGGCCCTGGGGTCGACTCAGCTTCTAACAAACGAGCAAAGGCGACCGGCGTGTAGGGATGACAGCCTTACCGCCATCTGTGAGCCGAGAAAGTGCCGTGAGCCTCGACGTCTCACAACCGTATGGGCCTCCACGGCCTCTTACACGGATAGCCTTACGTGTTTTACCTTCTTACATTGATTAAATTATATTAATGTGTCTTATTTAGACTTCTATGTGACCGCTATTTAACTGAGGTTGTAGTAAATGTGGCTGGGGTGACCTTCTTGCACTTCTGACGTGTTGGACTTTTAGCATTTCTTTTGTGTAGCGTCTGTACCCCGCTCTGGTGTATTTTTCGTCGGTTTGTTGTACTTGAAGTTTAGTGTTATATAATACGTACGTCTCTCCCGTGGTAGTAATGGTGTTAAGTGCTGTAGCGGTCTTGTCAAGTCTGTATTTGAATGAAGAACATGTTTTTAATTATGTATGTACTTAACAAAGCGAAAAATAAAACAAATGTCACCGTAATAGAGCCATGATAGCGCAGTAATTTCATTGATCAGGCTATTGCTGGACAACCAAGGGATCAGGGTTCGAATAGCGGCAAAGTCAAACTATTATTTTCTTCTCAGCATCCAGAGCGTTTCTTGGCCCCATAGAGGCTTCTATCCATTGGATATCTAGGACCCTTTCCATGGGGTTAAAGGGGCCGGGGCGTGGAGCTGACCAGTTACCCCCATTTAACTTCAATATTAAGAATGGCTGGAGGTATACCTCCATTTATCTTCATGACATGGTCGCCGTGAAGGTAATAATCATTCGTGGGGCGTACGTTTCGGGTCGTACAGCTTCTTTCTGCCAACTGAGACCCTGGGTCTTCTGTATACGACACACTTTAGGGAGAGTGCTTCAGGGATTCCCCTCCTAGCATTGCTTTCGTGCCATTGATGTTTGAACTGCGAAGTCAGCACACCTGTATACGTATCGAGACTAGTAGATCGGTTCTTGTTTGCATTGCCTCGTTTACCGGGGGAAACTTGGCAGAGAGTTGTGTGTACTGGCTTCTACAGTAACAATAAAGTAAATGAGGGACAGCTGTTTGATGTGTTCTGCTGTCCAGGATCGTATTTACGGAAGCAATTTACGGGTTTATGCCCAAAATTAGGTATCTAGGAACACAAAAGATGTTTTTTTTTCCGACAATATTTGTGGGCCCAGAAGGAAAGACGATACTTGTGGTAGGCCTAAGAAAGAAGCAGTAACAACTATTCCCCCCCTTTCTTGTAAGATCCCTTTCAATATTATCTTCCCACATCCGGGTTTTGAAAATGATATCTCCCTTTACGATTTCTCGATTGAAATTTTGTAGTACTGTGCAGTTATCATATCCCCAGCATGGTTTTATCCCACCTGTCTCGTTTCCGATTTTCGCCCTAATAATATTAGGTATGAAGTAAGCCAAAATATATTCTTCAACACATTCCACCCCCCCTCCCAAAGCCCTAGTTCTTTATCTTCCCTCTGGAGCAAGAGAGAAATTCTTTGTTTCACACCTATATAAAACAGGTACCAAAGTTACAACTCTTTCTCCATTTTCATGTCACTTTCTGCATGTCAGTCGAAGTACTTTGTTGCCCACCTTTTTCCCCTTCTACAACATCCTCACTGTGTGCTTTTTACTTAGACTCAAAATCTTAGAAGGCAGCTGTTTCACACCCATGTGAAACAGCTGCTAAAATTACAGATCTTTTTGTATTTAAGTATTTATCTGGGTAGGAGACGGAAGAAATCGATACCTTGATGAATGTTAGAGCCGGGATAACTCAGTCAGTATAGTGACTGACTACGGGCTGGACGACCGAGGGGTCGGAGTTCGAGTCCCGTTTTGGGGGGGGCAAGAATGTTCATTTGTCCATATCGTCCCGACCGGCTTTGGGGCCCACCCAGCCTCCTATCCAGTGCATACCGTGGGTTCTATCCCCTGGGTAAAACGACCGGGACGTGAAACTGACCACTCACAAACTAGTGCCGAGAAAACGTGGATATATTACATCCACTTCCCCATACGCCTTATGGCACAGTGCTTGGTTAGTTAAGCACAAGGACAACTTTACCTTACCTTTATCCTTGATGAATGTAAGATCCTCATGACGTATGGAATTCCTTTGTTCTTGCGTCTAGGTTTATGAATGATAGTTTGTCACAGTTACAAAATGCATCAGAAGTACAGGGTGATTCTAAATTATTGTCTGGGTTTCCGTGTCCTATAATTTTGAAACCGGGAGCAACAGAATGAAACTGATCACGCAGTATCAAACTGTAATAAAAGGTTTTATTACTTATAGAATCGATACTGTAGAATGCTAAACAACTTTAATATGGAGGCCTTTCGTGACACATCCGGTTTGAAAATTATAGGCCACCGAAACCTCGACCGTAATCTTGAATCAACCTGTACGTAGAGTATCGGGAAGTATGTCGGTTATCGTTGCCTAAACGGAGGAAACATCCGTGGAATCTCTCGTGGTCTGTTCATATTAAGAAGCTTGGAATATTCTAGGCCGTACTGAGAGACATCGCCGAGGTTAGAACACGAGTCCTCGCGCATACTGAACGTTAACCTTTCCATCGCGGCGTTCGGCGTATTGAATGATTGAATAGCTAAAGATTGCTCTCTTCGAAGACGTAATCTGGTATATACCGAAGTTTCTCGGGGACGTGTTGCCACCGTTGGTTCTCATGAATTATTCGTTCATTTGTTTCAGGTGTTCATTGCTGTACAGAACGAGAATGACAACACGCCTCTCACTGTTGAGCCCGTGTACTACCCGTCGATTCCAGAGAATTCTCCGGCCGGTAAGGTAGTTGTTGAGCTAAAAGCTGAAGATTATGATCTGGACCCTACTCAACGCCTTACGTTTCGCATCACCGCAGGAAATCCTGGTGGATTCTTCAGCATCAGCCCTGATACAGGTAAGAAAACAACGTTGTTGCTTATTCTGCGTATTTGTTGTTTGAAATTACAGGCAAATTAACATTGAGGTCACTAAGCGTTTCGTCGATACGAGACCTAAAGGCGCATCCACATTACTCGTGCTCGTGCTCGTGTGACTCGCTGTGCTCGCGAGTAATGTGGACGATATAATAAGTCACGAGACAAGCAAATTTTAAAATTTAAATTAAAAAACTATAGCCAATAAATGAAAATACGACTACAGCCTATACACACTACGAGTAAATATACGGATCCTCACGCGCCGAAGCCTGGCGAGCAAGTGAAGTAGTGTGGACGAAGATTTACGAGCACAAGTAAAAGCCAGACGAGTCTCCCGACGAGCACGAGCACGAGTAATGTGGACGCGCCTTAAGAAGAGCCGTTCACAATGGCCGCTTGGTATAAGGCATGAAATATCTTCGCCCTCTCAAACACTCGGATCGTGGGTTCGAATCTCACTCTAAGGATGAATGTATGTCCGCGTCCCTTCAGCGTTTCTGTCGTTATCCTATGTAGGTAGTGGCCTTGCAACAGGGCTGATCCCCAGTCGAAGGAGTCATACCGACTCTCTGTGAGATCTATAGTTCCAGATTAATTCTGATGGGAAACAGGTCACAGGCCCTAATACGAATCTCTTGCCTAACAACCGGCGTGTTTATAGAGCCGTTCCCTAGCAACGGCTGCCTCTGCTGTCTTCACAGTTCTTGCTTTGAGCAAGTATGCTACAATACTGTATATCTGAGGACTCCGTCTCTAACCTTAGTTTGAGTTGAAGTCTCCAGCTGTAAGCTTTCTCTGTGCTTGTTGCAGTTCTTTTCATAAATTGTATCGAAGTTAAAAACATGTTTCTGAGTCGGTCTTGTGTAGTTCAGATGAATTAAGTCAATAACACCTCACTGGCCTGCTTTTAATTTATTAAAGCTTGCCTTCACGGATGCAGAGTGTTCTTCCGAAACGTCTTCCAGATTTCACTTTGTCATAACCAAAACAACCTCTGTCTAAACCAGCAGAATGTTTCTTTCCAATCCAGAATATTTAGCCACATATAAAATGTCTTAATTTTATAATCCACATTAGCTTCTGTAGACACGGAACTCGAAAGATCCTGCCTTAGCGATATGACGTAATTCCCTCCTCACAGATGACGGTGATACAGCATTAAAATGTTTGTTTCAAACCGTGTTCAGTGGCGAGAGTTGAGGAAAGGTACAGCATCAGATGTAGGTCGGATTAGTGTAGTGGTCTGGTGGTTTTGGTGAGGATATTACTATGCCATCCTTCTCTTTACCATGTTCACCTCTCGGTGTCACGTATAACAGGGTGAAACTGCATTGTAACCGTGTGTCTCTTGTTTAGCTTCGTTTTACCTTCGAAATTACTTGTACGATTAAAAATATAGGTGGGTCCAAAAGGTAAAATTCGCAGTCATTCTATACAGGGTGTTAAAACATGGTTACAGATTTGAAAGGGGTGTAGTACTGAAGCAAAGAAGTGATCTGCCTCCATTTATATCCTGAAGATGGAGGCAGCAGATTGTTGGAAAATGTTACTAACCACTCACACGATGTTATATCTCAGAAGGCCGGAATATAAACATACACAATAAAAGTCTGAAATAGATTACATTCCCTGTTTTTATGGATCCGGAAGTTTACGAGTACTTAACATTTTCATTGTGTCTGAACTCTCAGAACCGAAGTGCAAATACAACGCCTTGCGTGCCTGCTTATCGCCTTATTTTATTTTGGATTCCCTCTAAAGTTTTCATTTTGTTTATGTCTCTTGCTCTGTAATACTAGGAAATGTCATTCCGTTAAAACGAAATACATTTATATCCAATATGAATATCATCCAGGAGCCGGGATTGGCTCAGTCGCTATAGCGACGGGCTACGTGCTGGACGGCCGGGGTTCGATTCTCAGGATAAGAAAGAGATTTCTCTTTCATAACTTGTACTCTTCACCAACTATAATCAGAATGATCAAGTCAGCGAGGATGAGGCGGAGAGGGATGTAGAAGAGAGCATGTAGGACATTAGTGGGGAAGCCAGAAGGATAGAGACCACTAGGAAGACCAACACATAGGTTGGTGTATAATATTAAAATGGTTCTTAGTGCAATAGGCTAAGGTGGTATGGACTGGATCGATGTGGCTTAAGATAGGGACTAGTGGAGGACGCTTGTGACGACGGTAATGGACCTTCAAATTCCATAAATTGGTGGGAAACTCTAGAGTAGCTGCACAATTGGCGCATTCTGAAAAAGGGCTCAGCTACATGAAATTATAGTTATTCCACAGCATTCAGACCTGCTCTGGGACCCACCCAGCCTTTTATACAATTGACGCCAGGGGTTTCTCTCCAGCGTTAATGTGGACGGAGCATAAATATGAGCACTCACCTCCGTCTAGCCCCGAGGTCAAGAATGGTGGAGCTATATCTTCACTCCCTCACACGTCTTCATGGCGTGGTGCTTAGTTAATTATTCACAGGGATAACTTAACGAATATCATCTGCATATTTTTAAAGTTTGGAGGCCGAGTAGTTTCAATATGTTGTGATGATCAGTTTGGAGCCAGGTTTAGTAGACGTCCAGTGAACCCATGTAGGCTTTAGGGAACAGACCGTTGCCAAACAGGAAGCACAACGTAATCCCAGAGAGGCTGTGGAGCCAGTAACTTAAGCACGCAGCCTTTGGCTTCTCTCCTCATCTTCCCTGCCTGTGTTCAGAATTCCACAAAATTGCCCGCCTTCAGCTAATATCTCATATAAATGAGTTTTGTATTTGCCTCAGGTTGAGTTCGACGGTATTCAAGCCGACTCACTGGCTGGCAGCCTCAGACTAGTTATCGGATTGGACTAAACAGGTCGATGTTCTCATGTGCCACCGTAGTCCTGAATCTCATTACCACGAAGCGTCTGGTACAAATTGTGTTAGTATTTTCCTTCGTTAGCTTACTTTCCATATTTTGGAGAGAAATTGGAAGTAGGCTGATGCGATCTCCAAGCTGTCTCTGTGTCCATGTCCCCCCCCCATCAACTTCTTAATGCGTGAACCAATCTTTATCAAACTTGGTATGCATATCATGATACCTGAGCCCATCTCAGCTGCGTACTTCGTAAATTCTTCCCATCAGTCTCTATACCTATATGTGTATTCCTCTCGTTGCTAGGCAACGGCACTGTAAAAACGTTACCGCGACAATGAATACACAGCCAGCAATGGAAGAATTCTTGGACCCATCGTCTTCTATGCGATCCGTGTCTTATCAAGGAACGCAGGCTATTAGTTCTTCCCAGAACTTTTGTTGGATTTTAGATTCTCAAAGCGGTGGATATCAAGAGTTCTGTCTTACGAAAGTCAACCGATGTTTGTTAGAAATATCTCACATCGCTATGCGTGGTCGAAGGAAGAAATCAGCTTGAAGCAAGTAGCAATCACTGCTCTGTTTATGATTTTAGTGAATAATAAATTGGAAAGGACATGGCAGGAAGTGATTATGGCCTGAGACAGTACTCCCGCGTTTGGCTGGAGTTGCCGGAAACTGATCAACTGGCTGATCTAGCAATAATGAGGTGCTCAGTTCGAATCAAGGCCAGAACACTGGCAATCCTGTCTGAAGTTTCTCGTAGTTATCTTCAAACCTAGGATAGCTCAATCGGTATAGCGACCGGCTATGGGCTGGATGGCCGGAGTTCGATTCCTGGCGGGACTAAGTGACTTTTATCTACTCCACAATGGCCAGAACGGCTGTGGGACCTACTCAGCCTCCTATCAAATGGACAATGGGGATTCTTTCCCGGGGGCTAAAGCGGCAGGGACGTGAAGCTGACCGCTCACCGGTTTGAATGGTGGAGATGTACCACCACTACCTAATGTCCTCATGGTGTGCCGCTTAATTAATTAGTTAGGTATGAAGGGAACTTGACCTTTTGACCTCTAAGTAAGTGCCGAGATTGTACCTCAGTCAACCCTCGACCGCTTCCTTCCACATCCTTTCTAATTCATGATTCTTATATCATTCTGCCACTCGACAGTGCCCAGTCTGAGATATTAAATGCATCATGAAATTTCCCACCAGGAAAATAGACAGGGAAATCCTCAGACGGTTACCGGACCCGGGTACCTGTAACCTCTGGATCGCCAACCGTGTGGATGCGATATTTCATGTAATCTGAGTTAAGTCGGAAATTGTTCTTATTTTCATATGAAAATGTAGAGAAACTTATTGACACGTTCAAGTGGCTGAGAAGAGAACCAAGGACAATAAATTATTTGAAAGGCGAAGAGAAAGAAGCTATAAACACGAAAAGTGCGCCATGACATGCAAGACAAAGAGGAGACCGAGAAAGATGTATCACTCGATTTAATTAAGACTAGCGTTTGTTGGTTGCCGACTATAAAGGTTCAAATTGAAACCGATTTGTTAGCCTGTTCTTCGGGGCGAAGTGTACCACCCCCTCACGCACACCTGTGTTTTGTGTGCTGTTGTATGATGCAGCTGTAGAGAGAACATTTGAATTTCTTGTCTGAACCACCCAGACAGAAGTAGCTTGGTTCCGCTTCTGATCACAAACGTG